TGCTGAACCTGTAGACTGGGATTTTCAAAAAAGAATAAACAGACTTAAGGTGATATACCATCCTGCACAGATACCTATGCAATGCAATACACAGAAAGAAGAAACCCATAGTTAATGAATCATGCCCGAAAGCTTACCTCTCTCGCTTTGTTTTCTCTAATTTATCCTTTAATATCATGATCTCTTTCTGCAGTGCAAGCTGATGGCTCTCTGAATCATGTACTTCCTTTTTCACATTTTTTACTTCCAAAACATGTGATGCTTCTCGTCGGACCAACTCCTCTTCATAAAATAAGATTTTCTTTTCCAGCTCAGACTTAATTTTGGAAAGCTCCTGCTGATGCTCTAGTGTGGCACCTGCTGCCCGGCCTCCCTGCTTCAGCTGCAGAAGAAGAGAAACCATCAGGAAGAGACTATGATCTTTATATTTTGGGAACATTACTTAAAATGAGAATTGTCGAACTGGTGGCACTTTGGAAAAATTTTTATCTGGGCACTGAGTGGTTTAAAAGGTGCCTGTTTCCAAGCATTAAACCCCATAAGTGAGTGCTCTGATTACATGACTCTAATAAGGGGTTCAAATGGGTTGCAGAAATAACAAATTTTGGTCACATTGGTTTAGTATGTGCTTAGAATTCATAAACTGAACATTTTCAAGACATTAGTGTCCAATGAGATATTAAAGTCCTTCAAGCAAAAAACAAAACAAAACAAATAAATCTTAACAGGTTAGGTCAGGCTTCCGGTAGTGCTGTAGTTTTTAAGTCTCCCACGGGTATCAACAGTTGAGTAAGCAAAACTATTGCAGCTCCTGTGTCATGAGTAAAAATTTGTCAAAAAAACATGTAACCTTTAGAGCTTCCAGTTCGTTTTCCAGTTGTTTGGAGAAGACCTCACTGTGCTCACGAAGCTTGCGTTCTTTTGATGCTTCTGCTACAACTTCTTCAAGTTGGGTTTCCAGCTGCAACGAGAGTAATTCTAAGTCATTTCAACACAAAACAGTGCTATCTGTATCATTCATTTGCTTTCCTCCATATGGATGAGCAGCAAGTTTTTCCTTATTTCTATTTTCTGTTACACCACTATAACAATCATCTCAGAATGTCGGATAATTGTTTTGCCTTCATTGATCCAGGCATCCATCTGTCTCATGAAGTAGAACTATTACTATATGACTTTTTGTACTGATATGAACTACACCAAGTACGTGCAGGGATAACTGCACAGCTTCTATTAATGCTAAGAGAAGGAAATGGCACTAGGAAGTCATTGCAGTTGTGAAAAGAAAGTCTCCCACATTTACAGGTCAGCTCCATGCCTCAGTATCTACTCAGGCAGCTTAAAAATACCAACGTTTGAGCTAAATTATGGCAAAATACTTCAAATACGAACACTGAACACTTTTAGCTTGCAATTACAGAACAAAATAAGCTTGATCACCCATTTATCGACTTCAGAAAGCTTACTAGAAAGACAATTTAGTGGCAACTAAGGCAACTGTTGCAATAGTGGCACAGTTTTAAAACCTGACAGGAAGAGTAAGATTTGTTTTTCTGCATTCAAATTCAAGTAGCAAAGGTGTTTTTAAAAGAACTGTATTTAGAATTGTGGCCCAAGATAATGAAGTTATAGATTATGTTCTGAATAGAAGATTGATACAGCTGTTAGGAAAGAGAGAACAGAGGAATATGTAAGAACAAAGACAGGAGATTATAAAGCCCTGCATGGAAATATTTAACGTAATAAGCAACAACACTCAAATGCCTGCTGTACTCTGCTCTAGAGATGAGGTGCCACAGCCCTATGCATCAAATACAGTGCCACAGACACCTTTGCCTTTTCCAGTTAACTACCCCTTCTGATTCATGGATAAAAGCCTGAGAAACTTCATCTCTTGCTACACTTTCATAGACTGCCCTTCAATTTGCTAGAGGTTTTCTAACAATGTTTATAAATCTCTTGAATTTCTCTTCTACACTTCACCCAAGAGAATACATAAAATTTTTCAGTAATTGAAACACTCCGGGTTAACCACAATAGCCATTTCTTACGGCCTCTCCTGGTTATCTACTTCATCTTATGTAGAACTATAAATGGCCTAGAATACTAATTGGAAATTAACTTGCTTAAAGATATTACAGACATTCTCTACAGTGACTAAGTACAGAGGAAGGCAAACCACCTGTTAAGTCTGGATCACTATTCCTCCAGCTGAAGAGAAAAATTCAGTTAAAAAAAAAATTAAGTCAGCATACTCCAACCTTAAGGCACATGAAGTCATCAAGCTTTCTAGGTTTCAAGCTGACTTATGAGTCAGAGTCTACAAGAATCAAAACACAAGAACTAAGAAGCTAGGCATATAGCAAGAATAGTTTCCTCCAGATTAAAATCAGCCTGAGTACAAACAAAAAAGAAGACTCAGTTCATTTCCTGATACATCAGTAAAACATTTAAAAACAAAATCAAGATCTATTTTGTGAGCTATAGCAAAGTTATATGGACGAGTTACCAGGGTAATTTCTTATAGACGGACAAAGTAAATTATTGTTAACAGTTCTGATTTTTCAGTACAATCACATATGAGATACTGGATAAGAATCAGCTAAAACATGTTATTGTTCGCTATTTTATCAAGCTACCTCTTTTCTGATCTTCTCCAGTTTACGGATGTCCTGTCGCATAGCATCAATTTTCTGCATGCTCACTTCCACCTCTTCTTCTTTGTCACGAAGTTGACGGGACAGCTTCTGCTTTTGGGACCGCAAGTCTCCCATCCTCTCACTGAGCTCGGAGAACTCCTGCACAGCTAGCTTTCTTTGCTGGTGGGCATCCCTTAATTCTTTGGATTGTGTCTTTAATCTCTCTGAGGCTTCTACAAGTTGCTGGTTTAAATAAAAAAAAAAAAAAAAATCATTTGAACTCCATATATTCTTTCCAAGAAGAAAGGAAGTCGACCTACACAAGCATGACTTTAAAGCTCAACCTCCTCACGTAACTTTTAAATATTATTTGTAATACTTAATTTACTTAAAGATTTTTTTCTGGGTAAGCAGCTGCAGTAACGTACCAAGACAGCAGTTATTCTGCTTCTAGTGCAGCAGCTTCAAGAGTACCTTTGCTGTTCCAGAAGTCTTTCTTATAAATCTGACTACACAAGGCCACCTCACTTCTAAATAAGTTAATTTCAGATTACCACCATGTACCTGCACAATAGTAATCTTTTTTTAAAGGAATGTTTTAGCAGACAGCACATTTAGGGGAGCCATCAAATACAGTGTACCAGCACTGAGATGCTGCAGCAAATCTTGTGAAATTCTTCAGGAAACTGAGGAAGATTCCTTAGAACAAACTGTGAAGCTCTAATACTTCAACTGAAAGTATAAAAGCTGTTTCCTTTACAGCAAATAGTTAACAAAAATTAACAAGATTAAAATACAAATTGAACGTTCTACATAAAATCATTTGAGAGTGTGGAAAAAAAGTAAGAAAAAGAGCAGAACTAGACAACGGAATAAACGTATACCGGCCAAAGGACTTCTAAAAAAATTCTGCTGTTAATAGGAGTATCGCAGGAGCATTCATTAACTTCCCAAAAGGCATGTGTTCAAACCAGGAGGAGCAGATTTGCCTTCTCTGCTACTCATACACTCTGGTAAATAACCCTTACCAGGGGTTAACAGATAGAAGAGACTGTTAAATTCTAGTGGACAGTAACCTCGGAGATTTTGGCCCATGGATTACTTTTGGGTCCATCTAAACAGCACATGAACAATACGGCTGCTAGACTTTTCCAAAAGTAGCTATTGGAATACAGGTAGCTTTTTTGTATTATTGCAAGTGGTATATAGTATATGCAAACCCCTATTTACTTTACTGCAAAATATTTTGCTGACTTAAACTAAGATACTGTTACATTTTAGGAAGCAAAGGTGTAATTTACACAACAGTAAATAAACTCAGCAATTACCTAAAAGTCATTCTCAGCCTTAAGCAATAATTAACCATTTCATATTACAAAGAGTAAGTGGGCTTAAGCTGGAGCAGTGACCTAGGTCTATTGACTCTTTTTTATATATATGTATATTTTTATGTATACATATATATATATGTATATATATATATGCTTTTTGATATCTACAGGACTGATGACTAGCCATAGATCTGAGTTTAACTCCTGTGTATACTGAAACAGTTGAGAATAATTAAACAGTTAAAATAAACCCATTCTTTAGCTGTTTGTTCCATCTAGCAGAACACATTTGAAATAAATAAGATGGCTATCAACTCCCAAAAAAGAAAGTGTGCTACTTTGGAAAACTACTGTATTGCTAATGAAATTAACAGGTTCACTAAAATCTCAGTGTAGTTTTAAAAAGCAGCATTTAAAATGCTAAAATTGCAATCACAACAAAACTGTTCTATAACTACTTTACATGACCATTTTTAAACGTATCTATCTTTGGATCAATACCTTATGAAGGTCCTCCTTTTCTTGCCGCAGTACTCTGCACTGTTTTTCTAGTCCTTTCAACTTGTGTATAGAGTCTTCATGTTCTTGTCGAAAAGCCACTGCATCTGCAAGCTGTCCTTCCAGTTTACTTATATCTGTAGATTAATACATATTAAAAGGTAACTGGTCCCAAATTTACACCAATAAAGCAAGCAACATGACTCAAGCAAACTGGCATCACTTCGTTTGGAAAATCAACTTCTTTCCCGTTCCCACCATTTTAGACTGTTTAAGGCAATTTTTGGGCACTGACAGCTCCATATAATTTTAATTTTCTCAGCCTATTAAAGAAATCCTCCCAAAGACTGTGATCTCTTGAAATGAAAAAGCCTTAGCACAGGGCTTTGTTTTATTTTTGAGGAATCCAACTTCTAGCCCTAGAAAACATTGAAATAAACTTGAATTGTTCAAATTCCAGTTCTAATACTTTGTCTCCTAAATAGTTTTCATTATAGGACAAGCAAGGCTACAGTCAGCCGTTAGTGCATCCAGCAAGACCGGAAAGGACTATTTATTTCCTAGAGTAGATAAGAACCCACAATCTGGGAAGGAAATACCATCCTGCACGAGGCAGGCTGGAGACCCAACGGCCCATATTCCTGGAAGTATGTTCTCCTGGTTGTTCCCTCTTTACTCTCAAAGAAAATTAAACAAATTTGATTTGAAATTATCACCTTTAAGCACAACAAACTAACCACCTTTATATATTTCCGCTCAGTCTTAAGAGCTGGTACGAAAATGAACTGTCGTTCTCCATTTGGTTTTAATTACTACTTCTTTTAAACAAATAAATAAGAAATTGCACAGGGAATAACCGTCTCACTCAAGTTCCACTGATGTCTGTGGCAGAACAGGAAATTGGACCTGTGTATTCAGGGATCCCAAGCACTGCTGTAACAATTAAAGTATTATTCCTTGTCTCATTTCAGCACAAACCTCCTCCTACTCTACATGAACCAATACTACTTCTTTTTAAATGAGAGCATACTGCTAGTTTTTATACTTAAGAGGACACCATTGGCTGAAGAGCTTGATAAACCCGAGACATTTGCAGAAGTAGCACCCTAATCTAACTATTTTGACACAAACCTAATTCCAGAATATACAAGAATAGCTTTTTTTGAAATGATAATCTACTTAGGAGAGCTGAGCTATTTCTGCAACACATGCACCTACAAAGGGGGTATATTGCCAAACTGCAGGGGGGGGGGAAAAAACCCCAGCATCAGCAATTCAGCATCTGAACTCACTTATGCTATACTACAGGCCCCTATAAACCTCTCAGCCAAGTCATTAGGATTCAAAACTACGATTTTGTTTATCACTGATTCCCACTTAAAAATTAGATGCTAACAGGAGGTTTGTATGGATAAACTAATAGCATTGTCAAGCAACAGATTTTCAGTGATATGGATGAGTCAGTCTTCTCTCAGGACAGATGCCAGTATTTGTTTTTCTGCAATGCTCAGTGCTTCCTAATTAATGCATCACCAGACAGAAACACAAAGGGAGCAGGAGCTCAGAAATATTTAAATGTGAACTATTATTACACATCCTCTCACCTATCCCCTTATGTTACTAAAGAGCAACTAGTCGTCTTTTGCCACACTCTCTTACACCTACCTCCAGTAAAACCCCTCCAAAACAATACACCACCACCACCCACCCCACCCCCCCCCAAAAAAAAAAAAGGAGGAGTAAGAGAATAGGATCTCTTGAGACTCTCAGAGACATCACAAAAAATATTTAAACTGAACCCATCTAGACAATTCATTGTACTCTAGACTCCCCATGCTAGTATATGCGATCAGGCTGAGCAAGTGGAAAAGTTAAGTACTCACCTGGGAAAACTGAAATTCCTCTTAATATTGAACGAGACTTTAAAAAAGCCTTTTTTTAGCACCTCAAGAACATTAATTCTACTTATTGCAAGAAAAAAAAAACCTGCATACATATTTTGCTACTCCTAGTAACATTAAATTGCATTACTGTAATTACCATGCCAGAAGGCTTACCTGTTAATTTGTTCTTCAACCGTTCAATTTCTTCGTTTAATTTTTTTATTTCCTTATCCCGGCTTGTATTTACTGTAACACACACTGGACCCTGGAGGTTCTGCATTGTCTGTGTAGATTCTTAAAATCAGAAAAGGAAGGAAAAGGTTTTCAATAAAACACATTCCAATTCCTCCCAATGAGCAGAACTAAGAATCCAAACAAATATAAACCACTAACCTTGCAGTTTTCTGTTCAAATCCTGCTTTTCTTGCTCTAATTTCCGTATTTTCTTTTCATAGCCTTCTATTTGTGAAGTGTTCTTTATGTCACGCTGTACATCCATATCTTTGGTTACAGTGTCAGACTGCATCGCACTCTTTAAAGTGCCTCTGTCAGATAAAGAGCTGAAAACAAACACATAAGTTAGAACATTTTAATAAATACTCATAGTAGTCTATAGCAGTGACATGCTGGGATTCCACCAAATACGCGCCTTAAATTTACAAGAACAATTAGCGCAGTAATTGTTACTGTTGAGACAACTGTCAGGGTAGATAAAGTTATTATTCCCTAGCTACTGTGTATGCTGCTGTAGAATTAAGATACCTGCGTTCAGGATTTTAATCACGCGGACATATATTCACTTTACAAACTGCCCAAATGATTGAAAATAACTAGCTCTCCTATGCCAAAGGTTACTACTACCTGACAGCAAAGTAAGCAGGTAAGTGTACCTGCACTGAGAGCGCTGAGAAACAAACCCAAAAGTTTAGTTTAAAGTGTGACAAAGATGGATTTAAGTTAAGCCACATGATCTCACTCTGAAAAGGATGAGATGTGTGTACTGGCTTCTTTCTGAAATAGTATTGCATGGGGTAACAAACCCCAGCAAAGGGAAATAACTGAATAACAAACAGGGCAGAATAACCTCGAGATCAGAGACAGGTGTATGTTTGAGGGATCTCTGAAGTCAGTCATTTCAAAGATAGGCAAAGTAAGCCATTTTGTCCATGCTCAGAACCACCTATGTTAACTTAGCCTACCAGCAGGACTTTGGCCCAATGAGCTAATCCTGAACTGTTCCTGGCAGACGTGCAACGTGGACAAGACTTGCTCTCGGCCTCTCAGCACAGGAACAGCAAGTTTACACCAAATTGCAAGTGACACATCCAGTCCCTTAACTTTCATTCATTTCAAATAGATAAAATATTAAATACAGAAGCATCTAATCTTGGCAAGCATGATCAAAATATGTTCAGACACTTGGGGGGAAAAAAAAAAAAGGATAAAGGTTTATCCACAGGTACACCTATGGACATCAACTCTTCTACATGTTTATAAAAATGAGAATTTCCTAGAATTAGCTGCATTTGGGAAACAAGTTTAATGAACAACATATCCTTTGCTTACCTATCAGTTGTGTATGTAAACCCAACAAATGGTAAATGCAATCCAGAAAAGCCTGTATGAGAACTCGGTGGCACCACTTCCTGCATGAAAACAACATGCATGAAAACCCGAAAGAGAACCCACACAGAGCTACAGGCATTTGATTCAGCCTCAACTGTTAAACAGAGACAGCTAACAAAGACTTTTCCTAGCGCCTGCCAATTGTCAATTGGCAGTTATGCTTCATTATATAGCCTTCCATTGTCCCCGGATGAACTTTATTTCAGATTAGGTCACTTAATATCACGACCTGAGTTCAGGAGCATCTTGAACCAGCACTTGAAAGGGCAGCATTTCAACAAGTTCAAAGCACAATGCAACCAGTAAAAGAAAACCTGAAATTTCAAGTTCCTAATTAAAAGTGACCTGGCAGCAAAATGCATGCTGTTAGTTTTAGTATGCTAGTTACTGTTAGATACGCAATAAAAAAAAACATGCCAAAGCCTCTTAATTTCTTGGAATACAGGCTGATGAACAAATTACCACAAAACCCCTCTGCTCCTCCTGACCCGAGTTTGTAAACTACTACACAACAAAAATGCAGGAGGGGAACACCAATATTCCCACTCCAAAAACTGACCTCCTGGTTCTAAGTGAATGGAGAAGTAGCAGTGTGAGCTCTCTCACCTGGACAGCTGTGAGTGCAAGCTGCATGGAGAATATATGTGTATTTCTGAAGACAGATTTTTTTTCACCTTTGAAAAGGAATAAATCCAAATACTAGCTCCTTGTAAAGGTAAACTACAAGGGCAACTAAGGGTTTTTTTCCCCACTGAAATATGTTTTAACTTTGACTGACCATGTAACAGTAGTCCATTTTGGCAAGTGCTACCATTTAGAAAAGCAGCTCACAATTTCCGATAACCCAAAATGCCAAAGAGATGAAAAACTTGAATTTTTCACATTTGAAATGACTTATTTTTCATCTCTTACATTACTTATGTTTAAATAAATTCTCACTACTACATTATAGTGCAGCGAGGTTGCATACTTGCATTAGTAATATTTAAAAACAAAGACTCACTGGATTTCTTAATACATCATCATCTACATCAAAGTTTGAGGTGTCAGAAGGACTGCTAACATCTGGAATGTAAGGTGCTTCTAGGTTTCGGATGTTATCCCAGTTAAGTCCTTCAAAAAATGCATGAGACTTAAAATCCTCTATTCCATTCTGTCCCAGTCTACGCTCCCTACTGCAGATAAGTCGCTGAATAAGATCTTTTGCTTCTTCAGATACATCTGTAACATGGGATGGAAACTGAAATCGTTCCTAGAAAACAAAACAAATACGAGAAATTTTTAGAGAAGGAATCCATTCCATAAGTTTCAACAGTAGTTTCAAAAAGAATGTGCTAAATTACACCAATAAAACTGGAAAGGAATAGTCAAACATTGTTCTAGTCCCAGCGAGCCATGGCAGAGCGTAATGCAATACACTCAGCGATAGACTTTTTGTCTTAAAATGGATTTTGAGGACAAGTAATCACTTCTTAATTTCTTTAATACAGATGTGTTTGAAACAAACTGCAATTACAGTAACTCTATTAGGAAAAGCAAACTTTTTTTTTTTTAAGACATACAGGAATTTTGACACGCTACATTATATTAAAGATCATACAATAAAGGCAGACCCTCACTGGTATTAGTCACAAATCCACTGATCTCCTGAAGATGTACTCCTTGAGATTTTATTAATTTCAACTCTCAAAAACCCATGATGGTAGTCAATTCTTTACAAAATGTTGTTATATTTAAGGATGTATTTTTCTAATTTATGGGTTAAATACCTGTTTTTTCTTACTAAAATATAATCTACATTTAGCAAAGATTTACAGTATCATAAACAGAAGATCTAAAAATTTTATTTACCACTAACATCTGAAATTATTCTAGATAAAAATCTAAATAAAAATCTAAATAAAAATTTTCTGTATTTTAGCCTGCTACTACTACCGCTGTATAGTCAAGAAGGGCTTTTTTGGTTTGTTTTTTTCAATAAAGGACAATAGCATATATATATCTCTATCTCTTTTCATAATACAACTTTTCAAATTTAAAATGAGATCATTAGGGACTAAACCAGCATAATTGAAATTAAACTTTAAAACTTCCATTGAAAAACATGTAATCATATTGATTGTATGTCCAAATGAGATTAAAATATCAAGTCTGCAGGACAACAGCTTCAAATTTCCTCCCAAGTAGTTTAGGAGCCAGGTAGCCAGAGCTTACGCTGGTTACATTTGCAACCAGTTAGTTCATTGAAGAAATTAAAGCAGAGAGATTAATGTTCATCACAACAAGGGTGTCAGCTTTGGCAAGGATTTCATGTCTTATCCATCACTGCTTCACTGTGAGAGCACAGCATTGTAAACACCAGTAAACTGCACTCATCCTCGGGAGAAGAAAATGCAACAATACACCGTATGCAACAGCTTCTGGCTACCTAGGATGAGTCTGCACATAAACACATCCTCCTAATACAGCTCTTGAAATGACACCATGAACTGGTTTACTCTAATGTTATTCTCTAATGTTCAAAATGCACCCAGAAGTTCCAGCTCTTCTCTATCACTTTGACCCTGGACAAACCCCCTAACCTCATGTTCTTCATGAAGCTCAAATTCACGTTTTTCTACCACTTCCATTCCAGGCAACTCCCCTCGACCTCATGTTCTTCATGCAGCTTATGTCTACACCGGTTGACTTGCCTGTTCCCTTTTTTGTACTGTTATCAGTGTGACACAAAATGTGTGCAACTGTGTAAACAATAAGTTATTTCATTTCTCCTGCACAGCCCAGAGGAAACTTTAAATGGGCCTAACATGATAGTTGGTTTTCATTTCAATTTTGTGATGACTGCTTAGATTTTCCAACAAGAACAACATCAGCATTTAGAGAAAAATTTCAATTTGACAAAGAAGCAAACATTCCTAAAACCTGAACCAACCAACCTACACAATATGGTTCTAAACCATCGTGAAAAAGCAAAGAACCATCATCACTCCATATCTTTAAGTGATAACAGTTTCTCTGTAAACATTATAATCTCAGTGAACACATAGACATTTAATTTAATGTATTTCTTACTTCATGATTCATAATCTTCCCATAGGTTTCCACTAACGACTCTGCATAAAAGGGTGTTTCACCATACAGCATTTCGTACATGCAGACACCCAGTGACCACCAGTCACATTCAGGCCCATATTTTCCCATTCCATCTTCCATTGCTTGCAGTATCTCAGGGGAGATGTAGTCAGGCGTACCCACTGCTACTGATGACTGTACCTTAAAAATAAGGCAAACATAATTCTCCTAAGTTTTCAGGTTCTCCCAGCAACTTTCTCACTCACACACTAGTATTTGTGACAAACAGGCAACAGGACATGATTTTGGAAAGGGAAGAAATTTATAACATCACAGCAACAAAATAAAGAAAATACTAAGAAAGTAACAAAGACTGCAAAGATTAAGTTCCAGTCTACTTCTACATAAAATCAGTTGAGACATTTTATTCTGAACACAGCAGAAACCCCAGTCATACCTGTTGTGAGAAAGCAGACAGACAAGAGGAGAAAAATGTTTTGCCTTAGTATCCGTTTATACTTTAAAATTGCAATTGGCTGCCAGAAGTTGAAATGAGAAATGAATAAGCAGGGAGTTCAAGTCCTATGCCCAAGTTTTACAGTTTCATTTGAAGACAGACAGGGCAAGTAGACTCCTATTTTTATTACGTCAGAAATTGCCTTAAGGTTTATTGCATAGCTGTGCAACTGGATGCAATAGAGGGGTAAGGTGGGGAATTGCCCTGTGCCCAAGCAGTAGGGAAGCCCTGACCACCAGGGCAGTGGCAGAGCAGCTCTGATCTCTAGGAATATGTTCTCAGGATTCACAGAGAGTTATAATGGCTCCTTCCAATTCCTTCTGCATTTTAATACAGTAAATCTTCGATGGGCATTTTATGACTACAGAATGTCACCGAGACTTGAGTTTGTGCCAAAAATCAGTGAACAATGTTGCATGCCGTATTTTGGCAAGACTGGCACCTCTGGAAGCACCCTACACTAGGCAAAACAAAAAAACCTCATGAGTGATTTAGCTTTTAGGGGTGTATCCAATCTGGTGCACAAGACGGCCAATTACCATAATGTTGCTGTTCGATTTGTAAAAGGCATATAAAATAAACTGCTTATTAATTATCTCCTCATTTTGAATGACTTATACTTCAAATCTGTCATGGCTGCTAGGTTCCTGGTCACCTATGATTCCAGCACATAAATAATATCAAACTTCTATCCTTTTTTGACACAGGGTCTTTGGACAGTTCATAAAAATCTCCTGAGAATTCAAATGGCTAGTAGGAGAAAAGGTGAAAGATAGAAAAACATAGCAAAGGGTAACTTTAAAAGGTAGCAGCCTGTAAAACAAAGGAGATGAAGATGTCAAAAATGTTTTTATAAATATGTTGAGTTATACACTTCCTTCAGTTTTTATTATGTCAATAAGCTTACAATCTATCACCTCCCTGATGCACGCTGACAATGTCTAATAGCTTTAAGACCAGCAATTCACTTAAAAGGTCCCACTACCAGTGACCCAGTTAAATTTTTCTTCATACATACTGTGCCATCTTCACTCATTTTCAGACAGGATCCAAAGTCTGCCAGTCGAATGTGGCCATTCATGTCCAAAAGGACATTATCAGGCTTTATGTCCCTGTTATAACAGAAAGAAGTGAAAAATTTAAATATACAGTATTAGCTCTGCTTGTAAAGATTAATCTGGCATCAAAATAACAAAGAATTTTACGTTGGATACCCACCGATGCGAACTTTTTATTGCACTAGTTACGACCCTCTCCTCCTGCCCAACTTAAAACTTTGCCCACAATATTGAAGCCTTAGATTACATCAGATTTTCAAACTCATCAAAGTTGAACTCTGAATGGTCAAATAAGCAAGCAGAACAATTACAGTGAGTCTTACAGACTGTAACAGATGGGCAGTTTACTTTATCAACATAGATTCAAGATTATATGCATCACAATATATTGTTTAGAGGCAAGAAAGATAAAAGAGAAAAGGCAATCTTTTAATCTCATGGTTTTTGCCAAGATTTATAACTAACTTCTAACTTCTTATCTAGGAAGATTTTTTTTTTACTGCTTCTCTAAATTTTGTCCAGCATTTCTGTTGGCCAGTATTTTTAATTTGCTATTCAAGACTTCCTATACACTACGGCACAGCACATTTGCTTCTACGGATACCTAAAGCCACAGAACTCCCCAGCTCTGGGATCACAGCAATGCCATTTCAACAGGATACAGTAACATTAGAAAGTCTCCAATATCAAACCATGTCTGTCATATTCGTACATGTATATAGCAGGGTATAAAATGGTATACAGCATGCTAAGGCTACTAAATGACATGGAACTAAGACTCCCATTTCATTCTAGCTCATTAATTTATAATTTATAATTTATTTTCTTTTTAATATCAGGAAGGCAGCCAAAAAGGATTTACTAAAGAGCATGTTAATTGAATTTAGTCCACCAATTAACCACGTTTTATTTCACCACTTTGTACTCAAATTCACACAAAGTAAAGTATCAGTAAAAGATCAATCATCCAGACAACTTAATAAGACAGTCCTGATACTTACGCTGTTTTTTTGTTGTTGTTGTTGTTGGGGTTTTTTGTTGTGTTTTTTTTTTAATTAATAGCCTCAAAATATCCTGAATTATTTTAAGAGCACCTAGCCAACATGTTGGGAAGGTGGTGAGAAAGGAAGACAGAAGAGCAAGTGCAGAAAACAGAATCAACTCAGTTATATGTATCAATTCTGCAGGCTGAAAAGGGGAACATCCATGTCTTCCAAGAATGTAAGTCTCCTTCCCTTTCTTTAGCCAACACTATCCAGGATCAGCTCCCAACATGCTAGTATATCACTATGCCATTTTGAAATACTATTATTTACCTGAGCTAGCAAAAGAAGATCACCAAGTCTATAAATGTGTTGATTTGTTTTTGGTTTTTTTTTATGATATCATGTTTATTCAAATAATACTGTCTATTAGTAATAAATGAAACCACATGTGCATTACGTTAAACCCACCAGTCTTGTTGCACCATAAAATACTGTATTTCTTTTCAAATGGGAAGTTCCAAACGCCACTACCTGTGCTCAAAACCTTAAAAATTGTACAATAGCTTCAGCTTAAATTTTTGAGGAAGAGACTAGAATTACTAGGAAAAAGGAAAAAAAAAGTGCTCTAATACACCTTGCTACATAGATGTGGAAGTTGACAATGTCTGATTTTTAAGGTGCTGAATTCCACAGTTTCACACTCGAGGAGACTTATGAGAAAAACACAATAGGTTTATCAAAGGGTCCTCATACGTGTAAAAATCCTGCCAATCTGATAATTTTTTCCAACACAAACTTGAATTAACATTTTTTAACCAAGGAATAATGCTTTGAAATTAGTTACTGAAACTTCACTAATACTGTTGCTCATTAGCAGTATTAAGATAAAATAGTAAATGCTAATCTATGCCTGTCACCATAAATTAAATGCATACTTACTTGTTATAATACCAAAAAATATGTGCTAATGCAGAAAATTAGACCATCTCACTAAGCTTTCCTAATAAACTCATTAGTAATTTTCTATTGTTAAACCTACTCCATACAATTCAGTTCTAGATATTGTCAACATTCCCTTACAGTCCCATAACCACAAGTCAAGCTCAGTAGGTGCAGAGGACTATTAAAGCTTATATACAATTATACACCAATTTTTTGTTTGTTTTTTAAAGAACACTGCTCACAGTGCCGTTCAAAGCATGAGCCAATCTCATCCAACACATCTCTGCTTTTCTGCTTTGCATGCAGATCTCGCTTGCCTAAGGGAACACTGTTTCTGTTCAGAAAGGCTTAATGCCTCGTCTCTGAGCTCCGTTGTTTCCTATCTACAGCTAACAGGTCATATAAGCCTTTAAAGGGTCCTTGAAATCCTCTCCAGAGCAATCATGCTTCCTCCTAATCCATTCCAGTTGCCAAGCAGTAATTTCTTGGGCATTCATACATCTCCTATTCAAAGCGTATGTTTTGGCCTCAGAGCCATTCATTCCTATTGCCACAAGAGACAGACGTTCAGCCCCGTGCAAAGATGTAGCTGGTCAGTTAGTCAGGCCACCTTCCTCAGAAATGGGTGCAATGGTGTCTCCGCTGACCTTCTCTGAGCTTGTAACATTTTTAAATCGCCACATATTGTCCACATTTACTCATGGAGGTATTACAGAATTTATATATCTATTCTCTTTTTAATTTTTGAAGCAGCGATCAAAGTCTGAACAGAAGAGTTCAAACCGCTATAGTCTGAGAATTCCTTGTGTCTTTTAAACATTAATTGTAAATAAAAATCATCTCGCTCACCTAATGTTTTTCACCCATAAAATTCATAAGAGACAGTAAAACTGTCCTTATTTCACAGTCTAAGAAATAAAGGCATAAAGAGGTAAAGGGACGTGGCCAAGATGTACCTGCCAAGTCAGATACAATGCTAGTATGAAGTCCACTTCTCCTGAGCCAGGACTTCAGTGACCTATCATGAACCTACTTGCACGGCCATAAGCAGTTTTCATTTAACTGAAAAACCTCACTACTGTCACGCTCTGTATTTTCTAACTTCTCTGTTTACTGAAATCAAGCTATAAATTCAGCATATAAAGAGACAACTGCAAAGGTTTCCAGAATTATCATACATAGTTGTTAAATCTGAAAAGCAAACAAAGGATAGAAATTCTCACTTGATCAAGATTCTCACAATGACGAAACAAAATATTTATCAAGTGCCTCCCTTACACTACTCACAGCTCTTCTAAAACAGTCTCTCCAAGAGGAAGCCATAAAAGAAGCATACAAAGTGTACCTTCACAAACACTTTCCTCTGACAGAGGAAAAGGAATATTATATATTTTTAACTACTACAGAACACAACCTAAGTTAACATGGTGGTAGGCACTGACCTGGAATACACATCCTGTGTGCAGAAACAATTAGACAGGCACATGCCCACTCATTACAAAAAACGTTTGAGGATGACCTCAGGTAAACAGATGCACTGATGTTATCATGGGCTTACTGTGAGTAAATTTTGCAGAATGTTTAAACATTTGCAGAGGGTTCAAACTGCTTCAAATTTCTAGGTTGGCTTGGACAAAGGCAGATAAACATTCATTAAGTGAATTGAGAATAATCAAGAAGCCTGATTAAAAATAAAAGCTTTAGTAAAAGATTAGTCAGATAAACATCACTCCTAATATCAAAACTTGCTATTTAAAACGTAATAGCTTATGCAGCTATTATGCAGTATATAGTAAGCAAGTACCCACAGCAGTTTGCCTGTGGCTACTGTGCCCATTTGTATATGTAGCAATATCTTTAGGATTAACATTGTATAACCGTATATGTATTTTTTCCCAAGTGAGGTGGTATTTTACCTGTGTACATAATGCAGCTCATGTATGGAATGTATAGCAAGCACCATTTCACCAATGTAGAACCTAGCCATATCTTCAGGAAGTTTGTCTTCAAACTTACTGAGAAGTGTCAGTAAGTCACCACCAACATAGTAGTCCATCACTAGATACTGAAAAAGGAGACATAAAGCAGTTAAGCACTGAGAGACAGGTGGTAAGAAAAAAAATTAAAGTTAATCAGTTATCTGCTGAAAAAAACCCTTTCACTGATTTTTTTTTTTCTATGCCTGGGGAAAGTTGTCGAAATTGGTAATCACTTGCATTACTTTTATTTGCTTATTTAGTGTAAAAACAAACCATATTCTTTTAATAATCACAGTAAGGGTGACACATCAGCATTCAGTTCTTACCTTAAAAAAACCCAACCAAACAACCAACCAAGATATGGCAGCAACAAAAAAGTAAATCAGGGTGAGTTTATTTCTGTCTTAACTACAGTGTCACACAAAGAAAATGATCTAGTATTACCAAAACTGATGTAGATTATCAACCCTTAAACTGTCAATTTCCAAAGGATGCAGGAAGAAAAAACTATAGTTAAAAACAGTACTTGATGCAGCTTAGTCTAAAATATACATTCCATTACTACTTTTAGTTTTGGTACCATTTCAATACTACTAGTGGTTCCAAAAGTGGGACTTATCACATCAGCATCTCCAAACACTCATCTTGGCACATGCCACATCATGGATGCATAACATAGCTGGCAGGAGCTTGATGACACTATACATTAGGGATGCCCATGACAAGCCAGAAGCGCTGTCAAGCCAGAGGCACTACAGCAGTGGGAAACTTAAAAATCAAACGTTTATGTTCTTTTGAATACATTTCAATGAAAAAGTACACAGCCTCCTAGGCCAATTAGCCATTATCCTATCCACAGAAAGAACCAATACGTATAGGGTAATGTAAAAGAAAAGGACTCAGGCTTGTTATTTGTTTCTCATACCACAAAACAGGGATTACATTTTAGTTATTTCCTAGCAATATCCACCTCAATCCAGACCATCACTTCAAGTATAACGACTTTTATCTGGTACAAACAGTCTTGAGCCATTTTGTTCCATGCTGCCCAAGATGCTTTGATACATGGTTTTAGGAATAACTTTGCTTATTCTGGAAGTAACTAATAATAAATAAATAATAATAATAAAGCGCCCTGCAATCCACTGTCCCTGCCACAAATTCACCTGCCACAGGGGAAGAAAATTAAACAAGATAGGAACCCAAAGGAACATAAAGTGCAATACTAACCATTTCCTCACTATCTTTTGGCTTAAAAGAGCAACTCTGAAAGGCGTAAGTTTTGGTATTTGTCTCTATATTATTCAAATTGTAGCTTAATCTGATAGGCAAAATTCATCACTTATGTTGAAATCAATCAGTTCATATTGCACAACCCATCAAGGAATTTTAAACGCGTTGGAACACTGTACACATACAACAATTACGTTTGAAAACAAAAGGCTACAGAGAGGAACCAGCAATCTTTTAAAAGATATTGTATTAAAGTATTTTCTCTCAAATTCAAATATAAGACAGCTTAGAGAGGCTTCTGTGGGAGCTGAAATAGCCTGCCTGTCAAAGAGACAAGGTAGTGCACTTCCCTCAGCAAACACAGCATTCATAACTCAGCAAGAGTTCAGCTGACCCATGAAAGGAGGCACTTGGATCAGAGAAAGATGGAAGACCTCTTCTATAAGAAAGTCAAATTTTATTCATCTTCCAATTCACAGCGATTTTCTTGCTAGGAGGCACTTCTCCCTTCACATGGGGTTAAAATGAAGGGTATTAAGACACCAAAATCTAGAGGTATCACATTCTTTCAGGGAAGTGACTACATCAAACAGGGGGAGAGTAGTTGGAAATCAAAGGAAAAAAAGACATCAAAATACTCTCATGAATACTCAGAAGCCTTTAAGAGGCTGACATCACACAAACACACATATGCCCTTCTTCATGAATGAGACTGGGAGTGAAAATTTTTTCTGGTAAAGCACAAGAAAACTAACAGATTTTGAATCTGGAAGCGATTAAGAACTTCAGGTCCAATACGTGTTTCTAATATTCATGGACTATGTTTTATCTACACTGTATCTGCTTCAGCAAAATGACCAAAGGCTTACTTAACCCATTTTGACTCAAACTGTCTCTACAAAAAGCTTTCTAGGAAGCAGAAAAAAGCCATGCTAGCATTTTCATGCCATTTAAGAGTTGGCTGTTTAGAAAACACTACCACATGGTGTATTTGCCTCTAAAACATTTTAAAGTTATAGAAGCAGAAACAGAAAATGAAGTCCAGAACATTACATTTTGTGGTTTTTGCTTATATGCAAGTTCCGCATCATCACATGCTCTACTAATATTACAGAGAGGGAACAAAACCCCAGTTACTTCTAGACTCTCCAAGGGCAGCTACCAGTTCTTCTACCTTAACATCTCATCTTCTCTTTATTTGTCTCATTCTGAGCCCTTTATCACGCAGCCAGAGGAGGATGGCAAAGCCCTAGGTGTGGGAAGACACCAAGCTTCTCGCTCTGCTTCAGGGTTACCTTACATGGTTTTGCACTTAAGAGTCATTAGCTATAATGCACCAACATCACTGGGAGCAGACACCAGAACCTAGAGCTTTCTCTTTCAGAGAGACCTGATGTCCACGCCAGGTCAGAGAACCAAGCTCTGTTGTCTGTTCTTATTTTGTTCTCAGCTTTGCATTCCATTCTAGGATGAACAGCACAGCTAAAAAGTAAACCCAATCTGCTCAGACTCTGTAACATGGCAGCGCTCTCCCGAGATGTGGAAAAACGTGGCTATAAACTTCTTCAAGCTGAGGAGAGAATTGGACAGAGATCTTTTAGCCCCTGGACAAGTGTACCACTAAGATGGCATGGAAGAGAACCTTCTGTCCAGGTTTTTGGATGAAAGTCACTTCCTGATGTGTTTCACCGTTTCTTCACGCATCATTTACAATAGTGACTGAGATGCAGCTACACTCCATCTGTGAGCACCAGACGTTTACATGAGATGGATGCTGAGTAACAGACCAAATTGGAAGGCAGCATCTCAGCACACGCAGAACCAGACCTCAGGCAAGCTGGGAATCTGCTGACTTTGGCTGCCAGGCAGAGTTGTTGCTTTCTTAGATACTGGATCTTAAATTAGATGCTAGATGTCTAAATTCTGCTGTCAAGTGAAACTTCAACATCTAAATGTCTTTGGCAACTTGGGGAAAAGAAATGTATTATACTGCTATATCTTGCTTGGAACGGATTTGTATAAAATGGTATTAGCAACACTAGATCCCTCTCTATACTGTCATTACTGCTGCTTGCTATCTTGAACAGCTAACAATTTTTTCTTAGGTAGCTCCATTCTTAGAAGCTACTTGGAAATATTGCATTATAGGATGTCTTAGGTTATTTTTATGCAAGTCTGAAGGCTGTTTGGTTCTGAGGGAATTTGAAATGATGAGCTATCTTCATAAGGCAGTGCCAAGAGTAACTAAACTTTGAGAGGTTTGAAAATCTGGATTTATCACAAAGTATTCAATGGAAATAGCCTGTACATGAGGGTCTAAGACTACTTATTCACTTTTGATGTGCTTGTTATCCTGTTATTAACATGACGGTCAAAATAATTTGTTTTGTTTTAGCACCTGTGAAAAAGTCTGAGTATTTTCTAACTCTTTCATATGCTTAGTTCCTGAACTTATTGGAAGTCTTTTATCAATACATTTTTTTCTTATTTATAATCATGACTTGCTACTGTGGTGCTATTTAAAAAGTGTTAAGAAGGTGAAAACCTTCACATTACAACTATGTTAGCTGTTACAGAAACAGGAGGTTTGCAAACCCAGCCTCAAGTAGCCGCACAGAAGCTGTATGAGTCAGTATATTGCAGTATGTTGGGGCTTTACTGACTTTGCTCCTCACCAGCACTCTCCTGACTTCTGTGACTAAGGTAAACCTAGCTTATTTAGTTCTAGTAACCCATCATTAAAAAATGCAATAAGAGTAATGACTTTCTTTATAAACAGTTGCTAAAGTCTCTCAAACTACTGAGATGACCAATCTGCTGATTTAAAAACGTATTTTATTTAAATACTTTTAAGATATAGGCTTTTTTTTTCCCTGAGGCTTTTAAAATATCACTTTTATCAGTTTTTTAGACAGAATTTTAAATTACTTTTGCCATTTTTAAACAAAATCTTCCTTCAAAAGACATTCTGAAAATTTAAAATAAAAATATTTCTTATTTTCACAGAGTTAACACCTCTCAAATTATTTAGTTGCAATGTTATCCAAAATGTTAAACTTAAGCATGATGTATTTTATGGAAGGGTAGATTAGTCAATTTAAGGTGCTTAACTAAACCTCTATATATTATAGTACTACACGACTTTCTCACTCTCCTGGAGTTACAGTCAGCCCTTTGAAGTATTTCTTCAAGAAAAAAACCAAGAATGTTGAAACATTGCTACAAGGCATGAGGTGGACTGATTTATTGCACTAATATCCTTAAATGTACCAAAAATAAAAGTTCTTTCATAACCTAAAGCTTTTATATGCTGATGAAACAAACATACCAAATAGTTCTCATCTTGAAAGGCATAGTGCAACGTAGTAATCCACTGACAATCTCCATTCACCAAGACATTTCTCTCCTCCCGGAAGCAAGCTGTCTAAAGGAAGAGAGGGGGAAAAGCCATTGTCAACATCAACAAGTAGTTTTCACAGGATGAATATATATGGATGTTTTATGGGATTATTTAGAATTACTGAACAGAGGTCTCTATTCATTGGAATTCAGTCTGTGTAAGTGACAAATCAGGGAATCTCTGCAGGCTTGTAGTCAGGCATTCAGTCACTCTAATCCTGACTGTGACCTTAAAAAAAAAACAAAACAAAACCAAGAAAACCCCAACAAAAACCACCACAACACTCGCCCCAAAAAGCCCATAAACCAATTCGAGTCAACACTGAATCTTCATTCCACAATGTATTTTTAAAAGCCAGAAAAATGATAACTTGTCACTGCAATCTGCAGCAGAAAGATAACGGCTCTAGGAAAGTAAGTCTGGTTCTTCTGAAAAAGACCTTTGTGAAAAATAGAGTTTCATGTATACTTTTCTTACATTACAGTTCCAATTCCAGACACAGCCAACACACTATAGGAAATAAGCAGATCTTACTATTACTGTCTTATCTTTGTCCAGTATAATACATTTTCATTTTCAATAATCTTTCCGCTACTTCAAATAGCCCACTGCAACACTTCAGAGAAGCAAGCTCTGTGTTAACAGGTTTTCTCAGCACCTTTCCATAAAACCAACTTTCATAAACTTCAAGCGAGTCCTCCTTAATAAAAATATATTAATGTTTTTACTGGAACAGAACTATCAAGATGCAGACTTTGGGACTCTCTCACTACTCTCAATTCAGAGAGCCATTATTAGAATATTCAGTAGCTGCAGTTCAAGTGTTTGGGTTCGGGATAATAACTGACTTTTTTTTTTATTTTTTGTGGTCATTGCCACTTGTCCAGATGTCTTAGAAAATGTTTTATGGAAGGAACATTCCTTGGAAGCCCAAGCCTTACCATATATTGATTGCATCTTATAAAAGTATCTCAACCATTTTTTCTCCCTGAGGAAGCAAAAGTCAATTTACATTTCTACTGAAGAAGACCATACGGTGGCCACATTGTAAAGTTAGTAGTTATTGGTGCAGAGAGGTGTAAACTATAATTAAATGTTAACTGAGAGTGGTTTAACGGTTTATGAATGCAAGGCCAAAGTATCACTCTGCGAAAAGTTTGGCAGCAACAGCAGCTCCAAGTAATCCTATCCCCTGCCCACAGCACCAGAGCACAGCATTTCTCAGTTCTTCTGGCACCACGATGAGAGGAGACTGCCAACACAGAAAACTAGTTTGTTTATTTTCAAAGACACCAGTTCCTTGATCCAGTTCACCATGCAACCTCAAGTAGCGAGGGAATGTTACGAACACTTCAAAACCATTAATGCTGCTGAACACTTTGCATCATGAATTCAAAAAATAAAACTCTCCTTTTCTGCTTACGCTAGCTTAAAAGGCCTTGAGACGTGCCTTGAAAAAGCACGACAGGCTACCTAATCAGCCAGTCAGGACTTATTTGGACCTGTCAACAGTAATACACTAACGACTATGTATTTTGCTGTCAGAACAATGAATACAAATGGTCCACCTTAACATAAATGACATGCCTATTTTTGCTTGCAACCCATTTACGGATGTCAGTTGATATTCACTAATCTCTCCTGTACTTTAGAGGCTTCCGATCATGGCTTCTTTTTTTTCTTGCAGCTAGTACACAAATAAGCAGTGCTTAGATAACTTTTTTGCTATGTTTAGTAAGTCATAAAATGCTTCATATTACAATTCACAAAACAAACATAAACCAGTATAACAATTTCCTTCTTAGACCACTCATACAGTGGATAATAAAACACCTGAAGCCTGCTTTTCAGTGGAACTGCCCACTTAAGAGGCTACTGTATTCTTGCAGGCCTCATTTTAAAAGCTAACAAATTTTACCACATTTGGGAAATTTTAACACCCAGATGTTTTATGAACTTGATATGCAGGTTATTTAAGTCTTGCTTATCCAGAAAAGCCAAATCAAGGGAGCAAACCTAACAGGAAAAGACAAAAGGGGCACAGCAGAGAAGACAGTTCCTTTGTTGTCCTTTGTAGACGGGGAAAATCAGCAGAACGAGACCTTAACTGGACTGTTACTTGTCCTAAGTGTCTATTGGATCAACTATTGCTCATTATACCTCTTTCTTGGTGGATAACCCTCTTCCACCTCTTGTCTGCCTGAGAGGGTAAGAGGAGTTAGTCGCATAATTTGAAGACAATTTGTAAACAGCCGTCTTCTCAGGACATCTCTACATGTAGAAGTTTCAGCTATTTAGGTGGCCCATTTAATTAAGTCACTTTAAAAATGACTGAAGTAAGCCAGCATAGCTGTATTTCCATTAGAGTCTGGGAGCCCTCTACAAGCACTTGGGTTTAAAACAATTCTATACTGACCAATGAATCAACCCAACTGAAACCTGCGTAGAAAGGGCACCAAATTTCCCCCATACAGGGGAAGGCTTAATGCAGAACCGCTGATGCAGCACAGCCAGGAGCGTGAACTCTCCTGACAGCTCAAAGAACAGCCGAGTGGCAGTGGCTGACAGAAGAGCATGGACCAACAGACAGAGTGTGACTAAATCAGGCAAACGCAGTGGTGAAGAGAGGCTTAACAAGAGGGAGGAGATTTATTCACAGGAAAAGAGCTGGCACTGACTCACTGAAAGGAAGGGAGGGACTAGGAAGGGTAGGCTGGGGGGAAGGAGGTGTCAGGAAGGGACAGAAGAATGGGACAGGGAAGGGTCAGCAGGCTCAGCCCTCAGCAAGCAGCTAGCCTTCGCCCCTTAACAGAACTGCTGCAACTATTGAGGGACTACACCTATTTTTCCCGAAAATCTATTGCTCATTTACCTGCTGATTTCTGTAATATTACATTTGCCATAAGGTTTTCCTTTACAGTGCAAGAGTAGGTATTCTAGGAATATGCCGCTTCCTATGGCATATTCTCAGTAGGTCCTTTCCTAATCTGTGAAGTACCCATTCACATTTGCATAATTTGTTCTGACAATGTACATCTCCTTTCATCAAAAATATCCTTTTTAAACAGATTTATCTTTTTTAGCACATTTTGTTTTACAATCTGAATCTGTGATTCCAAAGTACTTAGTTATAGTTTCACCAGTTACATAAATCCTGTTACAAACTGTAGGATGCAAAGCTCCTTAACGTATGCTTTCTGAATGAAAGAGAAAAAAGACCTTTTCATAATGGTTTTGTATACAGCTGTGAATGTCATAGTAGCACCGATCTCAGCTTTCATGTAGTCTTTAACTCGCCTTTATTGTAAACAAAAATCTGGCCAATAAATTCAGGGTAAGAACTAGGGCAGACTGTCTGGTAAACGAATACGCAGTAATGCTGAGAACAACAGATGCCTGGAAGGGACTGTCAGACTTGATTGCATTAAAATGGCTTAAGACAAAAAGAAAAAAGAACGAAGCTCCTACGCTCATGAAATAATTCTTCCTAATCTGGAAGGGCTTCAATGTAATTTTCCTAATGCCATTTAAAAAATTCTCTGCATTAGAGAACCATATTACTTACCTCTGCCCTTTTAAGCATTTCCCATTTATTTAGAATTTTCATCGCGTAAATGCGCTCTGTACACTTCATTTTAACAACCGCAACCTGAAATAATAAGATATCTTTATTTAACAAAAGCATAGTTAGAGAAATACAATATTTAAACAGCTTAATATTAACAAGTTATTAATAAGTCATCAGTGATCAGCTCACACACTGATAAATTACAGCTTGAGCCTTTGCTCCTTCTATATTCCTCCTACATTACTACCATGTAGTTGATGCACAGCACACCATGTGTGGTCAAGCGCTCATGATCAAGTACAGGGGGGATGATACAGGAGGAGTATGAAGCTTTTCATATGAAGATGCGTAGTAAAGCTGCATTGTTTGCCAAGAACAAGCGATGCTTGTACACCATGCCTTCAGCCAATGAGGCAACGTTTAAAAGGGCAGCCTGTGAAAACAAGGAAGGCTGCTGTCAATAGAAATACACTACATTTGACTAATTTGTTTTCACATTTCAGGTTTCAGAAACTTGAAAGATATTTGCAAATTAACATGCTTTTGTGTACTGTATGCAGATATTTAAAAAGAAGCAAAAACAGTATTCATGTACTTATTCATCATTTTGCTTGAAGCATTTTACTATGCATCCTGTGTATTAAGACTTGCTCAGACTGGTCTATTATGAACAGTAGCTGTGCACATAGCTGTCCAGTGGAAGAAAAACCAGAAGAATACAGAAACTTCAAGGCTTAGGAATGCAAAGACTTTATTTTGACCAAGACTTGTATTCTTCAAGACCAAAACTAATTCTTCTTGTAGTAAAGCCATCATTTCCACAAAATTCTTCCAGTTGGCAATGAAAAGCAGGCATCATGACTAAGACAGCAACATTTTCACAGGACTATACATGGACTGCTTGAATATTTCTGCTGCTGCTCAGCTTGTCTCTATTTCAGAAGTAGAAAACCGACCAGCTTTCATTGCTTTTAACAAACAGAGCTCTAAATAGCAGTGGGAAAAGTAACAGGAATCACATCAGCTCGCCTCTTCGGTTGCTTAAAAACTCTTATCTGTAAGGGATTCAAGAGCTGCAGCAACGCTAAGAAGACGCTAACTATAAAACAAGGGTGGAATAATGCGTCAAGCAGAGCAACACTATACAAAGTCAGAAGTCCTGAGGAGGCAAGAGGGAAATATAATACCTCCCTGCACCTTACCAGTAAAGAAGCTCCAGATGAGGAGCAGGGGGACGACTGCTCCTCCAGTAACACAAGAAAGGGATATTCACATTTAGACAAGACACCTGACTGCAGATGCATACCTAAGCCTCCCACCCCTCAGTGTGTGAAGCTCCACTCACCAGGTCACGTAACAGATGACCACCACCTAGTACACACCTGCACACAGAGTCATGTAATGGAAACATATCTTAAGAAAAGGACTAGCAGGTACCTATCACAGGGAAGACGTAGTAATCTGGCCCTAAACACAGCTGGGAAAGACACAGCACGAAGAAGCAGCTTCTGTAAGCTATGTAGAACATCCCCAGCTACATTACATCCCAGTGCCTCCTGGCCTACAAACACCTCCCGCAGCCACTGCTCATGCTGCGGGGGAAAGACGAAGAAGATGAGAACATCTCGTCTGAACACACGAGGTTCTTTGGGACATGTGAAACTGTTCAACACGGACCTTCAGTAATGGCCTAAAACATTTAGCTTTGTTCCTGTTCTCCTCATGGCCTTGCAGTTAAAAGCCATTGTAATAACCTCTCTGCATACACTTAATTGAATTATTTGCCTGATAGCACAGCTGAAGGCACACTGTAAGTCAAACTGCAGATTAAAAGCTTCGGGAAACTGCAAGATGCTGATGTTACCTGCTCTACACTTTAAACTCTGCTCCACACAGAACATGACGACTCAGGAAATACCCCCATCTCCACTGAAGGGACAGACCAAACTGAGCATGGTTACCTGCTGCAGACAAACAGAAGTTCTGGGGCACAAGCAATTTGCAAGCGTAGCTCTGCGAGCCCTGAAGTAGCAACCTTCAGATTTCATTACACCACGACACTAGAATTGCTCAGCCATTTAACTACAAATATAGTGCACAAATCAGAACCCAGATATGCATCTATCTAAGATGCATATCTTAAATATGCACTTTATCTAAGGCCATCACTGTCTGAAAGCACTGCAGGCTGACAGAAGTTTGAAGCGTGCTCAACTGCTGAGGAGTGATGCGAGCCTGGCATTGCGGAGGACACGTGCAGCCCAGGAGCTGTGCAAACCTTAGAACAGAAAGTGGTGAATGAGAACAGGCCTGGACAAAGGGGAAAAAAAAAAAAAAAAAAAAAAAAAAAAAAAAAGAAAAGAAAAAGAAAAAGGAAGCCAAATCTGTAGGACCTATTTAGCTATCTATATTACTGCTATTTATTTTCAACTGAAAGGACCGCTTAAAAAAGGCCCGATTTAAACTTTCTGGGGGAAGAGAATTGTCTTCTGTGGAAGAAAAAGTGGAATGAATAAAAGGAAAGTTGACTCATATTTTCACAATAAGGGGTTATCAAGTTATGGCACCAGTAACCACACTGCTGCTTTAGTTAAGGGGGACAGCAGGTCAGCTTCTTGTGCCAGCAGAAAAATTCATGTAACCATACAGCAAAATAGGTAATTCCCCAAGAATTTTATCTCTATAAGAAACGTGAGAGGTGCAGAAGATGCCTCACACAAGCAAGAGAACTTTGGCCTGACTGAACCCTGACTCCTCAACCCATTCTAATCATTAGTTTGTTGGGTTTTTTTTAAGAAAACAAACAAACAGAAATGTAAAAACCAAACCTCATTGATGCCCGCACTGAACCAGGGAATCACAAACTAAATTATCCCTTGATAAACTCAGTACTATTATAAGCAAGAATATTGTTGCAATACTGCGAAAAATCCTACGGCCTTTGTTCCATAAAACACTTCAGCGTTTCCTTGAGTTAGCTTTCTTTTACTTTCTTCATCAGGTGGCAGTATTTCTAAGTTTACATTCATCATATAATGCTTTGGCTGCTTCTGAGATACTGTGGTGTAGTTGTTTTTTCTTACTTTTGCATTAATTCCTCTTTCTCTGGCATACCTCAAATTCAATTACAATAACCACACTGGCCACTTTGCAAGATCAAACAGAAACCTCTTGTATTGCAATTGTGCAAACCATGCAAGATGTCAGGTTTTAAACATGAGGGCTTCTATACTACACACCAATCCACCACATCTACTAATGTAAGAAAAAACACTCGGTGTTCAGAGATATTCCAAAGGATGCAGATTTGTACACTGCTGCAAATGACTACTTTAAGAACAAAAGCATTGCTTCTGTCTTCAAAGTTTAAAAGTCTACTGGCTGAACAGTAGTTATATACAGACTGCAAAAGACCAGGATTTAATTTTGATGCTCACTCTTCATTTCCAAGGCTATTACAACTTACACTGTAATAGAAGTTTAAAAAAAAAAAGTATGCTAAGGATAATGAAAGGAAAAAAGGCACAAGCAGAGGTATAATAACCTAAAATATTCCAGGCCTGGAAGAGATAACAGCTATGATAGGCATACAAAACTGTGAATATTGCGGAGAAGATGAACAGAGAAAAATTATTTGCTGTTTCTCATAACACAGAAATTGAAAAGCATCAAATAAAATAAAAAGGTAGCGAGATCAAGGAAGTATTACTGTCACACAACAGTTTTGGAACTCAGCCACAGGCTGCTGTGGACACCTAAGTATTCGGAAAGTATTTAAGTACATGCTTAATACCCAAGTAACACACGTAGCAGAACTCTCAGAGACTACTGACCACTGAGTTACAGCTGTGGTTTGGGAGTCCCTGAACCCTCAGCCACTGGAAGCTGGGAGGGTTCAGCTCTGCTCTGGCCTTGGAGTTTTCCTACACCTCTCTCCCTGGCCAAAGAAATGCGATGTGGGCTAACTAATCCACGCACCTTTGACCCAGAACAACTACCTTTGATACCTGCGTCAAATTAAGAAAATTAAAACTAGGTTTTAATACCTAGATTCTCCTGGAAGGAAGAATCCAGGGTTCCGAATACTCAACAATCACAGAGTGGTTTGGTAGAGAGATTTAGGTGATTCTGTTTTACCAAGTCTTAAAACACTGACAAGGAAAAATTCCAGATGAAGGGGTTCCGCCGCCACTGCAGCCCCCTTCCAGGCAAGCCCCTATGGGTCGAAGCTGTCGCCAGCTGGTTCGATTACTCTCACTGTGACTCATCATGCTCAAGATTCACGGCAACAGGGACACTGCAATACAGATCAAGTATGTTTCCTCAAGGACCTCAGAAAGCCTAACGAATCCTCATGCCTACGCTTCAACCAACTTAAGACATATTTATGTCAAAAAAACTGGGGTTAAAGCATAAATGAGTGCCCGCTGTGGTAACTACACGCCACAACACCCTATCAGATTTGTATTACTTCTGACATCCATTTTCTTCCAGTACTTTTTGCCTCAAAGTTCTGTTTCATTTCTACTGCAGTAAAATAAAAATGGAACCAATATAGCTAAAACAACATTTTTAGACTTTGGCAAGAGCTAGTATTTTGCTTCTTGAATTGTTTTACAGAAGTATTTTGCTGCATTTTCATCTTCAAAAGCCACTTGATATTGACATTTAGGGTTGCAGTGTGCAAAGCCAGCCTAGGCCAAGTTCCACCTTTCCTCGGGCCCTGATGAAATCTGCAGGGCGGGAATCTGCAGGGCGGGAATCTGAGCCAAATCAGCCTCTACAAACAGGACAGAACTTCCCACCACTGTACTTTGCCCTTTGAGTGACATGATCAACATCAGTAAGCAGTATCAAGTTACAAATTTTCTTTTATGTAAATGATAAGCATGGCTTAAGAAAGTGCAGAAATCATTTAAATGCAAGACTAGATTTCCAGAAAACAATTAAGATAGTTAACAAAAAGACTTTCTACTGAAAAGTTTATAAATTCTTTGGTGTTCAACTTCTTGGAAACCATGCTGGCATTAGTTTCGAAGCAAAGATAAAAAAAAGCCATCTAACACACTATTCATGCCTGT